GCCTTCTCCGTGTGGCCTTCTCCACGTGGCCTTCTCCACATGGCTTTTTCCACATGGCCTTCTCCGTGTGGCCTTCTCCACGTGGCCTTCTCCACGTGGCCTCCAAGGGCCCCTCCAGCCTCACTTCCCCAGATCTCCCGGCACTCTCTGCCCCAGCCCTTCAGCAAGCCTTACGGCCACCTGCCACAGGGCCTTGGCATATGCCGCTCCCTCTGTCTGACACGCGTTCCCCACTCTGCCTCTCCTTTATGCTTCAGATCTCAGCTCAAGCCTTCCTTGAGCCCAACATCAAATCCTCCAAGACGACTCTTCTGCCTGCCAGCTCCTGTCCTTCCAGGCCCTTTTGCTTCTGTTAACACCTGGAAACACCTCAGTGTGACTGTGTGACCTATGTCTGAGAGCCCCTCTGGACCATCCCTCTCAGGAGAGCAAGGACCACCCCAGCGATGGCTCGAGGCCTGCCAGGAGTCGATAAGGTTTGTGGTGGGGAGGGCAGGACAGACGGAAAGCAAGCAGGCCACCCAAACCTGGCCTTCAGAAAGCCCAGTTCTGGGATACCCCTTCGGTCATTGCTGAAAACCTACACAGAGACCTGGGTCCCCACCGCTGCCCCCACTCTTCACGCTGAGAAGCAGGGTGGGCGGCTCAGCTCGTGAGCAGCCCTCCGGAACCTCCTCTGCCTGCTGAAGACTGAACCCACGTCGAGCCCGCAGCACCTCTCAGACTGGACAAGGGCTCACAGTGCCTGCTCTGTTGTCCCCAGGACTGTGGGCTCTTTGAGGGGGCCTGGCCTCAGTCGGAGTGTCCCCAGTGAGGCGCCTGGCACTGACCTGAAGATAAGGGTGCCAGTCAGCACCTGTGAAGAGTGAAGGATAGAGCCTTTGTGTCACCAAACACTTTCTCAGATGCAGCTCTGGCCTTTGCCCTTCCCTGTGGGCCAGATTTTATTCCTGATGCCACCTGGAGGAAGACAGGGGGCCTAGAGGGAGGGCTGGTATGCCCCAGCAGGCAGCTGCGTGTGGCGGAGTGTCTGGCTGCAGGCCCCCTGGGATCTCCCGGCGCTGTGGTGATGGTGACAGGAGGCCAGCTCGGAGGCTCTGCATAGACCAGGGAGCAGCAGCATCTCATGGGGTAGGGGGCCACCTCGGGGGAGGCTCTCACTCTATATGAGGGACGGGGACAAGCTTGTCTGGGAGCTCAGGCCCTCACACTGTCAACCCTTGTCAAATGTCAGCGTTGGTGACCTATGGCTCGCATTGGCCCAGGATCCTGCACATCAAGCCCTGACCCCGCTGCCACTTGCCATGACCCCCAGTTTGTGAAGGGCTGTCAGAAAGCCTAGTGGGGAGAGGTTCCCAGACTTCAGAGGGCCCCAGGGTTACCAGGAGCATATTTAAAACAGATGCCTGGACCATGTACTGCCCTGTAGTAGGTCTGGGGGGTCTCTGGAACCTTTGCTCCCAAGTGCCCTGGGGAGGAAAGTGAGAACCCACTGCTGACCCCAGCAGGCTCGGGAGTCCTGCCAGCCTTGGCTGCAGGTGGCCGCAGCTCCACAAGCTCTTGCTGGCCTGGACTCATCGTGGAAACCACAAAAGAGGAACAACCAGGACTTCCCTTTGAAGCCGGGTTTGGAAATAAGCAGAATGTTCCACGATACCCTTCCAGATTGATCAGATCCCAAAGCACACTTTAAGGAAACTGTATCTGGGCCTCCTCATTACTGCTGGGCAATGACTGCAGGGCCTTTGCCACATGGCAGGTTCCACCCAGCAAGCCCCAGGACTCTGGGCAGCTCCGGCTGCAGAGACGGGAAGTATATTAACCCTGTTTTTTATCTTCTGTATTTTCTGATGCTTTGACATCGTGGAGCCCTGCTGACCCTGGAGAGAACTGCCCCTCCAGGGCTAGCTAATTCCGAGAGACAGCAAACAACGCCCCAGAGAGCATCCCTTTCATGTGCAAACCAATCCAGAGCCCAGGCCCCAGCCACATCTTTTATTGTGCTCTCACAGGGCTCTTACCCTCCAAGCCAGTATTCCTCAGCTCTAATCACCCCGGGGCCAGGTACCAGACAACCCAGGACAGCCACTATGCCCCAAACCCATGGAAATCACTCAAGCCAGCAAATCCTGACCTGCTCACACTGCCTCTCCTATTCCTTCTGAGAAAACCACACTCCTGCCTCCTGCCCCCCCCACTTTCCCGTGCAGCCCAACATGGCAATGTGCATCCCCTGAAGCCCTCACATGGCGTGGCATGCCCACGTGGCTCCGACACGACGTGGCATGCTCTGTGTGGCCCCACGTGGTGTGCTGTGCTGTGTGGCCCCACATGATGTGGCATGCTCTGTGTGGCCCCACATGGCGTGGTGTGGTGTGTGGCCCCACATGATGTGGCATGCTCTGTGTGGCCCCACATGGCGTGGTGTGCACACGACGTGGCATGCTCTGTGTGGCCCCACATGGTGTGGTGTGCTGTGTGGCCCCACATGATGTGGCATGCTCTGTGTGGCCCCACGTGGTGTGGTGTGCTGTGTGGCCCCACATGATGTGGCATGCTCTGTGTGGCCCCACATGGCGTGGTGTGGTGTGTGGCCCCACATGATGTGGCATGCTCTGTGTGGCCCCACATGGCGGTGTGCTGTGTGGCCCCCCACATGATGTGGCATGCTCTGTGTGGCCCCGCGTGGCGTGGTGTGCTGTGTGGCCCCACGTGGTGTGGTGTGGTGTGCTCCATGTGGCCCTGTGTGGTGTGGTGTGCCCCCTCCTCTTGGAACCCTGAGTACAACAAACTGTCTTTACAACGTCAGTTGTCTCCTAATCCTCACTCAACGTAAATAAGAATAAAACTTATTTTGAGGACTGAGGCAGAAACCTACAAGGGAGGACATGCTTTTCCCTATGGACTTTTCTAAACATGACCTTGAGCTAAGAACCTGGACCCTCGATGCTGCCTAGCGTGGTGTCTGATCAAAGGCCAGAACTACAGGAGCTCATCAGCCTCCCCAAGACCAACGTAATGCCTCGGAAGCTCGACCGTCTCGTGACAGGTGTTGGAGGAACCCACGGTACCTAGCTGGGTGTCTTCAGGGTGAACATCCAGCAGGGCAGGGGACATTGGCGAGTTGATGGCGTTCTTGCCTTCTTCCTGCAGGTCACTCACTGCCAAGAGAGGGAGAAAACAGGTTAGAGTAAGCGCAGGACTGCAGCCTCACATGCTGGCCATGGAAGCGGAGAAAAATAAACTCCTGCAGTTTCAGCATTTAACAAACATTCCTAAATGGCTGTGGCCCAGAAAGAGTCCAAGGAAAATTGTTTTGGAGCAAGAATACATTCTGTAATTCTCACCTCACTTTGCTCTGTGGAACACATGACTAAGACCCCAAAGCTTCCTGATGCTTCCAGATCTTCCCAAGGCAGCTGAGGCAGACAAAGTTTGGACCACAGCGACAGAGTCTGAGAAGGCCGGGTACTCCCCCTCCCCCCAACCCCGGAGACCTGTGACCTGAGCCGTGGACTCGAAGAGATGACACCCCTCCCGACACATGCATGGGCGCACCCATGTTTACAGTGGTGTGTTGTCCATGGCCACATTCATGGGACAGAAGCATGGAAAGTATCACCCAGGGCCAGGACCACAAGAACACACAACAGAATCCAACAGAGAGAATCAGAGGCTCCAGACTGCAAGCACCATGACCTCCTGTCCAGAGAGCATGAAGCGTGGGTGTATTGGGGCAGAGAGAGTGCTGAATAGTTGCAGGGACCAGAGAGCTAGGATCCAGGGCAACAGAAAGGATCCCTCACCAACCTACACCAGGGAGACCCTCCAGGCCTTCAGGCGACATCCACCAGGGAGGAACCAGCCTCGGCAGACACATCGCCTCTTTAACATCACGTTTCTTCCACGGTCAGTAACTGTGGCTTTCAGGCCCAGCTGCACCAAGATTCAGAGTCAGTAAGTGCACGGTGGGGCTGGGGCACCTGCTGCTTCTTACAGTCCTGGTTGAGAACCACTGGGTAGCGGTTCCTGACCACACACCACAAAACCAGCCTTCTCCATTTGGCGATCTCCAGTGACAAGTGCCCAGGACAGTTTGCCCAGAGCTGCTTTTCCTCAATGAAATGTATTTAGAGCTAAAATCCTATTTCCTCTTTCTTTCTTTTTTTTTTTTAAAGATGACCCTAAGGGGATCGTAACCCTTGATTGGTGTTGTCAGCACCACGTTCACTCAAGTGAGCTAACCGGCCATCCCTATATAGGGATCCGAACCCGTGGCCTTGGTGTTATCTTAAAGATGACCCTAAGGGGATCGTAACCCTTGATTGGTGTTGTCAGCACCACGTTCACTCAAGTGAGCAAACCGGCCATCCCTATATAGGATCTGAACCCGTGGCCTTGGTGTTATCAGCACCACACTCTCCCGAGTGAGCCACGGGCCGGCCCCTATTTCCTCTTTCAATACTGCAATCGCCTCAAACCTTTAACACTTACTTCCAATTCTGGGCACTCAGTCTCTTCAGTGGCAGGTGATAGAGTGGCAAGGGGGTGTGGTACAATGGCAGGCAGGCCACGGTGGCCCCACCCTTGCTGGCTGTGGGACCCCAGGCAAGTCCCATTAACCTCTCTAGAGCCTGTTTCCTCACATGGCATTTGAGGGTTGCCTTGGATTGAATGTCCCCCCCAATTTAATCCCCACTGTAATGGCTGACGGTGGGAAATCCTATTATGGTCATTGAAACGTGGGCCTTAAAGAGGTGATTAAGTTGATGGTTTAATGGTGGTCTTGGGCGTGGTTCTGAGGGCTTTAAAAGGAGAGCACGTGAGGACCTATCTCTCTCTGCTACGCCATTTTCTGACATGAGACCCCTGCAGTCCTGAAAAGCCACCACAAAAGAAGACCCTACCAGAAGTGTTTCCTGGACTTTCTCCAAAACTGTAAGCAATAAACTTCATTTTCTTATAAATCACCCAGTTCCAGGCATTTCGTTACAAGCAACAGAAACAGATCAACACAGGCATGATTCGCAAAAATGTCAGGGACTGGGGAGGGGCTGAATGAAACAAACAACGTCCAGCCCCCGCCTGGGGCCTGGCCCACAGTGGGCTCTCAGGACCTGGCTGTGGACCCCGCTATGGGGACAACCCAAGGTCCCCCACAGGTCACCCAGGCCAGTTTAGAAAAGAGACCAAATCTCAGCAATTACTTTTATTACATAAATAGTTACAAAGAGTATTTTAACCAGCAAAGAGTCTTAAAAGGCAGAAAAGGAAGGATGAAGAGGTGATTTCTCACAGAAATCCTCACATACACAAGAGCCCTGGTGAACTGGGAGTCCGGAGAACACTGTGGACTCCGAAGTCCTACTTCCCAGGCTGACATCACAGAAGGAAGACAGAGGAGCCAGGGAGGTCCCTTCTGGTCAAGGCCATCTGCAGTGGTCATGTTGAACACCAGGGAGGAACAAAGACCCAGGTTTCATACAAGCGAAGGCCATCCAGGTGGGCTTCACGGCACAGGTGTGCTACGCGGGTGCGTCGTTACAATGACCCGAGCACACCATCTACTTACCTGGACATGGGACAAGTGGCAGAGCAGCTGGGGAGGAGCAGGACTGCTCACCTGATTTCAAAAACACAGAGGGGGAGGAGGAAGGCAGTGGTGTTTTCAAAGCATAGAAAGTGGGTCACATAAAAACAGAGAAATTTCCACACCGCCCTTGAACATCAAAGGTAACACTAAACAGGGCCAGGGATTTCATGACCTTAATAAATGAGAAATGCTCTCACAAAACCCACCCGGCCCTGCAATCTGAAGGGGCTTGATAAGCACAAAGCCATGAGGGTAACAAAGACCCCAAGGACCAGGAGGGGGTGCAGCCCAGCAGACCACACACTGACCATATGAGCACAGGCCTGTGGCCACAGAGCCACGGTTCAAATCTCATTTGGCCACTTGCTGGCATGTGGCCTCAGGCAAGTCCCTGCACCTTGCTGAGCCTCAGTTTCCCTGCCTGTACCATAGGGTGGCAGTAGTACCTACCTCGCAGGGGTGTTCCGAGGAATGAGGGAGATGGTGGGTGCTCGGCACAGGGTCCCAGACACACAGCCTGCACCCAAGAGGGTTCACAGCTCTGGGGCAAGGCTCCCAGAGTGGTACAAGCTGAGGAATGCATGACGGAGAGGAGGGCAGGTCCCTCACTCCAGGAGGAACCATGGAAGGCTCCCTGGAGGAGGCAGCAATTGAAACAGGCCTTGATGGCAAGAATCAGGAGAAGGGCCTTTGGGATTCTGTGCAAAGCACGTGGGTGACAGACCAGAGTCAGCACTTCTGGAAGCCCAACCCGGAGGCCACTCATGCTGACCCACAGGGGGCTTCGACAGATGTCCTTCTGGGTTTTGCTCTTTTTCCCAACCTGGGTGCTCCAAAGGACACAGCCCCTTTACTGTGGAGCTTTCAGTCTAAATCTGATTATCACCCTCAGAGGATCAGTCTGATTTGGGGAAAGAGGGGCTTCTCTTGAGCCTATGGCTTCTTCTCCCTTAGAACCTAATCCTGCCAGTTTAGTGGCTTTCAGTTCATCCCAGGAATGTTCTGGTTTTTAAAGTACTGGTCCATGTGCCAGAAAGACAAACAATTCAAAGATGCAAAATGCCAGCTGTCTTGCGTCCCAGAGGAGGATCGGCTGGCCAGGGAGAGCTGTGCTTGTCCAGTGTGTGCGATGGTCTGAGTGCTCTGAGATCAGCAACTAACTGGGAAAGACCGACCATCTCTCGCCCGTTTTCCTAAGTGTCTGCACTGTTCTGAGATGAATGCCCTCATCCATACCAAACCCGACAACCAGCCGCAAGGGAATAGATGCCAAGGCGGTCCCACCACTGCCGGGGATCACCTCTGCCAGTGCCTGGAGGGCGAGCAAGAGGATGGGACCAGGCAAGAAGAGAGGGACATGCGGGACCATCCCCTTGCCACACTCTCTCTTTGGGGACGGCCACTCCTCACTAAGCCCAGGACGGTGGGGTTGGAAGTGCAGGCTGCAGTTGCCAGGTCTTCTGAGTTTTAGAAAAGCTGGAAATTGCGGGGGTTTGTGTGGAATCACCCAAATTATAACGTGAACAAATACACTCTGTGTGCCAGCCAGGGTCACCAGTGTGCAAGCTCAAATCATAGCACATGTCCAACGTACATGTCTAACTGTCCATGGGAAGGGGAAGAAGGCCACTAATGTTTCCTGAGCACCTACGATGTGCATTCGCCTCATCTCCTAACAAGTCTAGGAGGGAGTGGCTGGGCCTGCTCTGTTAGGTGTGAAGCCGCCTGACTTGTACCACCAGTGAGCCTGTGGTCAGGACCCAACCCCGTTCTACCTGGTCCTGCACCTCACGGTGTCACCTCTCCCAGGGTGATGGAGACGCAAAGGATGACTCAAAGCCCATTTCTCCAGAGCAGTGAGAGGCCCAGAAGGGGTTAATCCCAGGCAATTCCTTCAAGAGAGAAGAATTCCTAGGAAATAACCCTGAATGAGGTTTTCTCTCAGTTTTCATCATCCAGGCAAGAATGTTACAGAAAAGGAACACCGGGGGTTACAAAAAGAACAATGAGATAATCGTCACAGCAACACTTAGTTCCCCAAGAAACTCAAAGAAACAGCCAAAGACAAGATGTGGAACATCCCCCAACCATCAGCCTTGAAGCCTTTAGCTCACACACTTTCCCATCATTAGGTTGAGCTGCACCAAGGGCATCTGCCCTTACAGCAAACATTTTTGCTGTGTTACAATTTTTTTTATCTACAACAGAGACTTTAGTCCTGGGAAAGTTTTCTGTTTTTCCCAAGCTTAGCATTTCTATATATAATTCTTAAAAGTTAGGCTATACCTTAAACTAAAGGGCTTTGGCCCTTCTAAAAATTAAGGGCTGTGGCCCCACTATGCTATAAGTTAGGCCCTGTGAAATACATTTGCTTTATTAATGTCAGTATCCTCCACATCACGGTGCCCTGCTAAATCCTACATCTTTAAGCCTCAGCTTACTGGCCACCTCCTCCAGGAAGCCCTCTTGGGAACTCCCTCCCACCCCAGGGTTCCCTCTGCCCAGCTTGTGTCACACAATCCTGTAACTATCTTTTTCCTG